GACTTAGAGGGCTCACAACGACAACAGTTGTTAAAGTACAGTCCCCCCACTCCCTCTAACTGGGCTGAGGTTGTACAGAAGACTGTAGTGGCTGCACCTTGTTGCTGAAAGAAAAACAGTTAAATTAAAACACACACTATTATTAAATACTGTAAACCAACTTTTACTCACGTGCAAGAAATTTTTGCGAGGTTCGCGAGAGCCTTGTCAGCGCGAATATTTCTCGCCGCGAACAGGTCCTTAAAGTGTATTTGTCTATAACTACAGATCCAAAAAAGGCTTGATCGCGAAATTTAATTGTCGCAAACTAGCTGACCCCCGGTATATTGCGAAATGAAGTCGTCGCGAATAAAAGTTGGTTTACAGTACTTTCCATTTACAAAGATACACATAAGACTATAGATAGTTGGTCACTTAGTTGTTATATTGGGTAATACTTCACTTTTAGTGTATTATTTCGCTGGCAGGTTCATCAAAATATGTATTCTCTTTAAAGAAGTGGACAGGCTTCACCTACATGGATGTCGGCAAAAGCCCGTTCACTTGTCTAAAGAGTATACAAAATTTGAGGTGTAAACTGGTGTTTTATATTGGCAAGTAATAATTTTAAAGCTTTACATGCATACATATTTTTCAATGTTCTCAATCTCTATTTTCAGCAGTCTGGTGATATCGATTTAACACTATTATTAACTTCATCTAGAGGCGATGATGTACATGAAACTGTTTCCTTTTTCACTGATGGAAAAGAAAAATATTCATATGTAATTGATTCTATTCCAAATTCACTATTTTCTCAATAAAGTTATCATAAATATTACTATGGATTTGTCATGCTCTTTCTTAATGCTTAAACATTGTGTAGCATATCTTTGAAAGATCTCCAAAGTATACGCTTCTATACTTACCAAAGATTTTGTAAAGGGTCTGGCCACGAAAAATATCAATTTATAGAACCACCAGTTCCTAGAGATGCGTGTGTACATCACATTTCCAGGGTGTACTGAGTTACTAGTAACTCCTTTATCTGACAGAAGCTTGTTCAGGTGCAGAGAAAATAGGATATTACACAGTTTGGAGTTATTGTAGGCCTGTAAGTCCTGATACTGGTTGGGTGTAGGAGATAACTTGCCCTCACTGATGTTGTCAAGAGAAAGGTCACTAGATCTGCAAAGAAGGCATGATACTATTAAGCATGTACATGATTAAGCTTTAAGAAGATGTCTAGGTAAATATCTAAAAGAGATAGATTAATTTCAATAATACATGTATAAAACAAGAAGGCATAAATGTAAGTTCAATTTGTGTTCTATATTTACTGAAGATCACTAAATTTCCGCGACACCTTATTTACGCGAGACTGTCTTTGACTCTCCAAGATAAGCGAGACAAAATTTTTACAAATTGTTGTTATTGCTCTATATAATCTTAAGGAATACCATATACACGATAATGAAATTTTCGTGAGCACAGTACGTGTTTCTCTGGCCAAATTTTTTACATTGTAATACCAAGTCTTGGCATTTAAGACATTATTTAATAATAAAAATTTTATATTTTGTCTCGATTTCTCATGAAATGGTTTTGTCTTTGCAATGCAGTACATGCAAGTGTAATATCTCAATTATTAAACCCCACTGTAGTAATAAATTAGTTTTTTCTCAATGTAGCCAGAATACTGTTCATGAACTTATTTTAGGATGTTTTGTATTGCTTCCTGTCAAGTACACACCGCACTTATAAATGATTAAACAAATACTACACCTGTACATAAATTGGCATATTCAAAATTTAGCACAATCTCTGGATATAGAGTTTTTGGCATAAGTGCTACACACTTCCATGCTGTAAATTGCATTTACTGATATATAAGATTTCTTAGCAGTATTCATGTTTTAGGCTTTTAGCGCATCATTGTCTGCGCCAAAGTCTTTTAGGCATTGAATTCATATTTTGGGATGTCTTCGGTCCTGTAACACACCTAGCTTGCAGACAAATTGAATACCGCATGTTAGCGCGGTATGATAATTTGTCGGCACGGCCAGGTGTGTTATAGGACTGAAGACATCCCAAAATATGAATTCAATGCTTATAAATGTATTTACATTCTCTAATTTTTCCCTTTATAATTGTTTATTTTGATAATCTTTAATGTGAATTTAGTGCCCTTCAAAACTGGTGTGCCTTATAGATGTAAGAGCCGTTTGTAAAGTTTATGATGTTGCAAGGTTAAATAATGCAAACGAACATTGCAAGGAAAAAAGTGAAAAGTCAAAAAGTAATTTTAAACACACATTTGTTGTACATGTATTTTTAAGTTAATTTAACAGGGTTAATTTTTTTATTAAATTGTGTCAAAACCATGTACATTTTGGTGTTCCTAAAGTATTGAAAATGCATATAGCTCCTACTGTCACTGTGTATTCTAAGGCACGGTGACAAGGTTTCACGTGTGTTATAGAGATTTGAACGTCGCGGATTTCTCATGGATTTCATAAAGAAAATTACACTGAATGTAAATATTAAAATATAAAGCCTGTTTTTTTAAGTACACATGCAGTACATACATGTACAGAAGCTTGGATCTAAAAGCATTATTTCATTTTAAGTCCATGAAAGATACTGCCAATTAATTTATTTTAATCTTTCTTTAAAACTTTGATCCCCTATTGTGGCCCAACCTGCTGATGGGGGTCTTGATTTGACTAAATTTGAATCTACACTATGTAAAGATTTAAACTTTTTTGACCCAGTGCTTCTTGAGAAGATTTTTAGAAGATTATTTCCCCTTAATAGGGAGTGTAGCCCTCCATTTGAACAAAGAATTTCACCTAAAGATGCTTTTTGACAAGTCTGCTTGAAATTGGCCCCGAGGTTCTTGAGAAGAAGTAAATAATGTGAAAAGTTTACAGATGGACAGACAGACCACAAACAAAACGTGATCAGCAAAGTTCACTTGAGCTTTAAGCTCGGGCAGGCTAAAAAGGCCCTCATGTTAGATGTATTTATCAGTACCTGTGTGATTCAGAGGAAACAATTACAATCCTTGATGGAGAAGAGGATGCTAGGACCTCCCACAGAAGCTTGGTCAGGTAAAACTGGGCCAGGTGATTTACTTGGAAGGTCATTTCAATGTCGTCTTCAGTTTTTGTAAAAGGCAAACCAAACACTGCAGCGTTCAGAATTAGTAGATGCAGTGGCCTAAATAAAATTATGAGATAGTAGTGCAAAATATATCATTCCAGTAAAGAGATACTTTAATATGGTCCTATTTTTTCAATTCACTGTCCTTTCATTATTTTACTTTTTGCTTTAAATACAGATTTACTAAAATGCATTAAATTGATAATAATCAATATTTGGAATAGTTTAACATTTATTTCTCTTTTTAATTATTATTTTCCTTCAAATGAATATTTTATACCATTTCTTTGATCTGTATTCCTCAGCAAACATCCGCACACTTTTCAAAGAAGCTAGGTCCAGATGCATAACTTCTAATTTGGCTGATGGCCTCTCTTCCAAAATAGTCTTTTTACATTTGTTTGCTGCTTCCAGATTCCGGCAGGCCAGAATAACTGTTGCTCCAAAGTAAGCTAAAGTTCTTGCAGTTTCATACCCTACAAAAAATAACTTGCTTACATGTATGCATTCAAAATTATGATTATGTGCATTCCTTGCAATTAGCAAAATAAAAGAATGATGTTACTGGCATGTACGGGTTATTAATTAGCAGCAGTATTCACCATTAGAGCGTTTGCTGAAAAAACTTCTATTTTATGATTTAAAGCAAACATATAAATTATTTAATTCTTATTTCAAAAAATAACTATTACATACATGTATTAATATTACTTACCAATACCACTATTTGCCCCTGTCACAATAGCATATTTTTCAGAAAGATCTTTTCCCTGAACCACTTGCATTGCAGCACTGTTTCCATCAAACTTCTGCTTAAAATCTAATGGTGTTTTCTTTTCATCCTCTGCAAATGCTAACCTTGGATCTGTGTATGTTGTCTTTTTGTTAATATGGCTTAAAAACATAAGATAAAACAATAAGAAAACTGAAATAAGATTGATCTCTTCTGCCATTATTTTTTGAAAATCCTCAGTAAAAATCATTTTTTTACATTGCAAGAAATGGCACCACTCATGGGATTTATAGCAATGGTACAGCAACTTAATTATAAACCTAAAAATTACTGACCTTCATGCAAAAAAAAAAAGACAAGAGGCCCATGGGCCATATCACTCACCTAAGCACTTTGGCTTAAGAAAAACAGAAATTGGTTCTGTTTTGAAAAGTTAAAATAAATGTGGACCTCTTACCCCCTCATTATTAATCATAGAGAGGCAGGGAGGAGTCATGATTTGAAAAAAAAAATCTACACTACCTGGTGATGCTTCCATAACTATATATGACCAATCAAGGCTTTGCTGTTCTTGAGAAGAATATTTTTTTAAAGTGTCTTCCTATGTATTTTGACTGCCCTTTGTGGACCCCCTACCCTGGAGATCGTGATTTGAATGAATTTGATTCTACAATAAAAAGATTTTATACAAGTTTCATCTTTTAATGCCTAGTGGTTCTTCAGAAGATATTTAAATGACTCTAATTTTTCATTATGTCTGAGTCAATTTATTATCTCTACTTGGAAGAGGTTGTGGCTCTTCTTTTATACAAACCAATACATCCCCTTTACCTGACAATATCAACTGGATAGGTTGATGCTGGACCAGTGGTTCCTGAGAAGAAGTGCAAAATGAAGTTACAGACAACAGGATCTGGGGCCATAAAAATTAGACAAGCTCATTTTTGATCTCAGTCTCACTTTTCTACTATAAATTTCTTTGGTAAAAGTGAGACTGAGATCTAAAGTGAGCTCAACTAAGTTTTATGGCCCCCAGGCCTGATAATGCAGGACAGTAGACATTAGACATCCTACTAGCCCACAAGCGCCTGTTTACTAGCCTGTTCTAGTGGGTAAACCTTTTATCTTGACTGGTAAAGAATTGCATGGATGGAACGCCAGAGATTACAGGTTCAAATCAAAACAAAGGCACAAACATTTCTTTTTCAAGCTTGTCTTGTACTTTTCTTGTACTTTAACTTGTAAAATCGGCGCTTTTCTTGAAGACTGAGTTGAGTTATATGATAACTACCCATGTTTTATTCTATTGAAGTAACACTGATTTAGATTCAAAGTGTACATAAATAGAAATGTGAGATACATACATGTAATTAAGAGAATTATTGCATAAAATTATAGCAGGTGCTAGCTTTCATGTTGTGTTGAGATTCAATCAACATAAACTATTGCACAACTTCAAGTACATGTATGTAATTTTCAACATTAATGGATTTGTTTCAAATGCATGTACTGAACACTTACAAACTTAAACAGAAAACAAGTATTAAAAAATGTACTCACTCCACAAATACTATAACACCATCATCTGTAACCTGTTTCTCCCATCCATAGGGCAAATCTTAAAAAGAATATGAAATAAAAGAACAATCACAGAAATGCAACGAAATTCCATGCCCCCCCCCCCCAAGATGAAGACATTAATATCAAGCCACCAGACAAACTTAAAGAAATATAAGCTGTAATCAATTTGCTACATTGCAACATAAGGAGTTTACATGTATTTTAACTGTGATATGGGCCGTCCTGAGACACGGTTATAGTAACTTACCTATAGGTCAGTGCATATAGGCTGGTGGGAAGAGGATGGCAGATACTGCATAAGCAGAATTTTTAGTGAGGATTTCATTTTGGCATTATTAGTCAGGGTGCTGAAATCACTGATTTAAAATTGAATATCACTAAAAGTAAAAATCAATTGACTTTTATTTGAGTTTATTTGAGGATTTTAAAACTACTAAAATTACATCTTGCTAAAAATTAAACATAGGTGAACAGAGATGACAGAGCTCACCTCAACAAATGTTGTCTTTCAGTAAGTCACACAATTAACCAACATTCTTAAAGTGTACATCCAAAAATGCAAAATTTATGCAAATTTGATCTGATAGGGCTTGCAGTTACTTTGGAATAGACCTATCCAAAAGCTTCAAACAAGTCGCCCTTCAAGAAAAATGTAATTCAAATCTAGCATCTAAAGCAAGTTTGAGAGTTTTCATCCCTTGATGCATCATTTGTGCAAGTTTGGTTTATATAGGCCTTATAGTGTCTTGGTGATAGACAACAATTATTGCTGGTTTTTTCAGTCAATATGACAATTTAGCCACCTTTGAAGGCTCAGGGAATATTGTAGTCCTTAGGTAGGTGGCTTACCATAAAATCGATCATTTAACAGATTGTTTTGATCAAGTAATTTGACTTGTTCATATTTTTACTGTCAGTATACAAAGATATTTACAGCTAATTCTGCTTTAATTTTAATAGCGAGCAGTCAGCACAACCTCCCACTCGTCACTATGAGCATTTAAAATGCCTGGGTGAAGAGAAAATTCAGACTTATCACACATTGATCCAAACAAGTTTTTTTCAGTTTTCAATGCATTGCTTGTAAAAGCTATGTTCTCGCAAGATTAATGGCAAAAGTTCAACAAAAAGTTACTTGCCTTGATTTTAATGGATATATTGAAGATAAATAGTAAACTAAACATTCTTCATTTACTTTCAGCACTGTTCAGGCTTCTTTTTGGTAATGCAACCTACTTGATGTGATGTCATGTGGCATTGGAGTCTAGGCCTAAAAAAAATAATAGTCTTGTTTCCTGCTACAAGCCTGAAAAAAATAGGGTAGGTAGGTAGGAAAATTATTTTATTTTTTTTAATGTTTTATTTCATTTTTTCCAAGGGTATTTTTTGGATATGAACTACTACAAAACCAAATTAAACATGTCATAGCTAGGTCAATATTATCTTTTTAAATGAAATTCCATATGTCTTTTGCTGTACAACTCAAGTGGAGTTTTATGAAAGTCCATATTTTAAACATATAATTCATGAAATACAATTTCAATATATATTTTTTCATTTTTGGAACATGAAATTCCTGCAATTTCCAATTTTTTTCCCCAAAAGCTAAAAAAAACTTGAGGGTCGGGTGCAAAAAAATAGGGTAGGTCGGGTAGCAGGAAACAAGACTTTTTTTTTGGCCTTATATAGCTGCACCAAATTCGTGTGCAGTTTGATGAGCCTGATTTAAATCAAAACAATAGAAGTATCTGTGCTCGCCCTGTTGGTCGCACCTTGCAACAATTAATTTACGAGAAGTGACCGATTGAAAATTTAACCCGTGCATAATATAATAATTCACCTCCTTTTATCTGTTTTCTCTTTCCACTGCGAGGATGATCCCACTGTGTAGCCTTAGTTTCATGACTGAAACAAATTCAATTGTTGTTACCTTTTACTAAACAACATACATGCCTTACATGATCATACATGGTCGCACACAGCCTATAACAAGTGTTTTTATTGTCTGACTTATGTATAACCTTTCAATTACCAGTATATTCAGAAGTAAATAAATGTTCCTAAACAAATTACTTTGCATAATACACTTGTCCCTGTGCAGATACACGTTCCTCCCAACCTGGTGGTAGTTCGTCTTCACTGTCAGTGTCTATCATGGGCGCAGACATTTTGTTCAAAAAGTCACGTGAACATCCATTCTTTCTTTCCAATATAACAAAATAAATTTAAACAGCTTTATATTCCATGGATTTTCATTTCTTAAAATAGAATATGTTTCATAAACACAGATTGAATTTATCTATTTATATTTCAGGAAAGTATAGAAATTTAATTTAATGTCATTTAATATGTAGTGCATTTTCTTTCAAAGTGGTAAGAAGGTTCCATGGTGTAATGGTTAGCACTCTGGACTCTGAATCCAGCGATCCGAGTTCAAATCTCGGTGGAACCTGAAACTTTTTTTTTTTCTCTCTACGAGTTTATTTAAGGTCAGATGAGACGTTCCTCAAAATCTGTTTTGTATATCTTCATTATGTATGACAAATATTCAAAATGTTAATAACATTCTGATTTCTAAACCAGTTTCTAAACGTTTTTTAAAAAATCAAAACACTTAAACATTTGAAATAGGAAATTTATTTTTCTCCCCCCAAAGGATTATATAAGAAAAACTAACCCTGGTATTTTGCAGAAATGCCTGGTAAGGTACCTCAATTTTTTGTGAGTAAACATATTTAAGTAGCAATACTTCAATGACAAACTCTTAGAAAAATTTATCTATTATTAAGGAACGTCTCGTCTGTCCTTAATCGATTTTTTTTTTCTCCACACGGCACAGTTATATACATGTGAAACATGAACATGACACCATAACAATCTGATAAAAATCAGATCTTTGTTACGCTCTGAAATTCTGAAGATATGATTTTCAATACATGTATAAAGCAATGTTCATCAAAATTTCGGAGCGTGACAAAGATCTGATTTGAATCAGATTGGACCCCATATATTTTGAATCCCGGAGTTTGTTGGACATCTCCTCACTGATTATATTTCATAGGTACTTGTAGACAGCCCCCCCCCCCCAATATTCAACCCCGGGGCTTATTGGACATTTTTTCCCCAGAAATTAAAAAAAAAATTGTAAAGACCCGAAAATAATCGTTCCACAAAAAAATGTACCCTACTATACATTATAATATTTTTTGTGGAGCGATTATTTTCGGGTTTTTACGATTTTTTTCCTATTGTAAACAAGATGAATAAGTGTAATAAATATAATTTTTGAAAAAATGTCCAATAATCCCCGGGGTGGAATATCGGAGGGGGGAGGGGGTCCTGTCCACAAGTACCTGTGATTATAATTATGATGATTTATGATGATGTAGGGGTTTTTTTTAGGATCATAAATTTGCTTTATCTCGGTTTTATCCTAACGTAACATGAGCACTGAAAAATTTAACTAGTAAAATTCACTAAGAGGACTAGTAAATTTACTGTCCATACAATCACTACCTTAAAAGGATTTTTACCAGGTATTGGGTATATTTACTTGATAACACTAGGAAATTTAGAATCTATATAATTAACTTTCACTACTGAGGTTACTCAGGTTGGTAGGTTAGTAGTATCTACACGGTATTTCTTTCAGTGAGGAATAAGTGTAATAAACATACTTTTTGTAGAAATGTCCATACGTCCGCGCAGAGACATAAATGCACCAAGCTAGCTACAGGGTTAAAATGGGGGGGGGGGGGGGGGGGTCTTTTGATTAGATTGGAGGAATCCTGTCCACAAGTGCATGTGTTGTTTTTTTTTTTTTTTAAGTAGTAATGGTGTTTTTTTTATGTTAAAAAGATGCTTGATTTTCTAAATATTTATGCAGTTTTTGGAGATCGTCTTACATTAATCCGTCGGAATTCCCATGGGCATCAATTGCCCCCCTTTATAAGTAGAGGTACATAGTCTGACGAGTGACACATCTGTTTCATATTATGATATTTTACGGGGGGAAAGACATCAATGGTAACCTAATAAAACTTGTTGATAAAAGTGGTGATTTTACCTCTTTTTCTATCATGACAAGGAGTACAAGGCAGGTACGGCTGGTCGACAGGGGATGCTTATTATTCCATTGTACCGCAGGGATTCCACCTCAGATGTTTTATTTCTTCTCATAAATCTGCGTTTGCTCCGCTGCCGAAAGTGTACTGTTTCAATGGACCATTGAACTTGATTACGGTTCTTGATCTCAATATTTAATACTGAAGTTTACCGAATAATATCCAGAATATATGAACATTTTTTTTAAAAGATGTAATAATTAGCAAATTCAAAAATTTGTGGTCCCCCGCTTTCGGTGTCTTTGTGGGTGTGATGTCATTATTTATGGCATATTGTGTCAAATATGAACGCCCTATCATATGTCATTCAGAAGTTATTAACTAAGTTGAGTTTTTTTTTTTGGAAAATTAGGTCAGTCGTGAAGGTCAAGGTGTCAGAAATCATAGCATGCTTGGAAATATCTTGTCACAGGTAATGCAAATGTCAAATATGAAAGCCCTATCTCTTTTCAATCAATAGTTATAAGAAAAAAATTATGATGTGTGAAAAGTAGGTCAAACTTCAAGGTCAATGTCAGAAGAAAAATCATAGTGTAATTAGAAAGGTCTTGTCACAAGCAATACACAGATCTGATATGAAAGCCCTATGACTTGTCATTCAAAAGTCATGACCAAGGTTGAAGTAGGCGAAACTTCAAGGTCAAGAGTTAAAAAATCATAGTGTATCTAGGTTGGTCTTTTCTAAGGTAATTTTAATTTGAAAACCCTGTCTTTTCTCGGTCAAAAAGTTCTTGCCAATTCAAAGATTTAAAAAAAAAGGTGAAACTTCAAGGTCAAGATCACGGGGTCAAAAATTATAGTGTTTTAGAAAGGCCTTGTCCCAGGCCCTATCTCTTCTCATTAAAAAGCCATGACCCATGCAAAGTACGCAATGTTTGAAAGTAGATTAATTTTAAGGTCAGGGGTCAAATATCATAGTGTTTTTAGAGAAATCTTGACAATGAGTAGTATGATAGCCCTATCTCTTCTCATGCAAAAATATCTGATCAAGGTTAATACAGGGACCTTTAGTCTTTGGCTCAAGATTTTTTGCGTACAGACAGACTGACAGATCTAACGTTACAGACTGACAGACGAATATTTCAAATGAGATTTCATATCGCGAAAGCGGAGGACCACAAAACATTGTGAGGTCCCACCGAGATTTGAACTCGGATCGCTGGATTCAAAGTCCAGAGTGCTAACCATTACACCATGGGACCCTGTTGATGCTAATCGCGGTAAATACCTTACAATATACTACAATATAAAATACAGCCGGATAAAATTGTAATATTTTAGTTGGAATTGCCCATAATTCACATGTTTTCAGGGTTTAATGTTATGGAAAAACTTTTTTGTCCAAAATTTGTTTTATTTTGTGTTTTCTTTACACATAGCTTATATTGATAATAAATGTATGTTAGTTTTAATAAATCCGTTTTATCTTGTTTTCGTTATTTACTAAACCGGAAGTCAAAATTTCCTACAAGCGATGCAACATTACAATATGGCGATTCAGCATGTAATGTGACAAGACAAGTTTTTGATATTTCTCATAATGAACACTAACGTCCAGGTAGCTACAACCGTTTGACTTGTAGATATTTAAGATCCTTGGTTCCTTCACTAGGCTTGTCAATGCTTTATATTTTGCATTTGTAGTGACACTTGAACTTTGAAGACAGGGACTGATGGAACTTGATATTATTGCTGTTCAGTGTTCAATTTGTTTGTTTACATAAGGTTATTTATATATGATTATTTTGTATTGTCCCTAGTAATTTAAATATGATATGAAGTTATCTTCAATAGAGTAATAATTTCAGTTTTCGGGAAGGGGGGTGGGGCTTTATTTCAAGATGAGACATATTTTTATGATAAATCAGTACTAAGCTTCATATCTCAGACCAAACTTTAAAATGAGGTAATTTCTCAGTGATGCCATAAAGAGTAAACACACAATGGATTACATACATGCCATTTGGTTTGAAAAAATAAAGTTTAAAAACATTGCATGCGTTAAAAGTCATAATCAGGCAATTGTAAAATATGAATAAGTCACAAATATAAATGTAAGCACAGGAGTTCGTGTACGTATCAATTTTACAGAAATTTTTCTCATTATTATAGGTATTACAAATTTTTTTAATTTACTGAAAATTTCGGTAAAATTGATAGGTACGTGAACTCCTGTGATATAAGAAATAAGATATCAATCTAAAACATCTATATAGGGCTATAAATACGGGTTGGTACAAGATCAAATCCATCATAAAGACCTTCGGCTTTATGGAATTTGATCTCGTGACCAACCTGTATTTACATCCCGATAGATGTTTAAAAATTATAACATTTCTTAAAATGGTGATGTCAAAATTGTCTGTTGACATAATCTGAAAGTTTGGAATAAAAGCAGTGGATAATAGAGCTCAAGATGTTTGACCGATAAGTTTTTATTTATTTTAACTAGGTTTTCCAAAGAAATTAAGAAATAATATGGTTGTTCAATCTCATATGGCAATGAGGTTAAATTAAAAAAAAATGTGCTGGTCGCTTGAATTTCAATGTATATTTGAAGTGAATATACTTGAGTAAAGTTCCAACTATTACATGTATGTATTAGCCCTTAGGCTAGCCCCGGTACTGTCATCATAACCTTTTAACTGCAGCAATTTTTGACTTTGTAAACCTCAGAAAAATTCTCTGAATAATGCAAGTCTCGATCATGTAATTTGAGTACATGTATTTTGATTATAAAAAGTATATTTTTTTATGCTAGGGACTAAATTTCCTAGATGTAACAAGCTTGGATCCTCGAGAACAGCAGAGGGTAAATGAAATACTGTTTGGACAGAGGAGCAGAGAATTGGGAAAGGTAGAAGTAAGTAAATCCCAGATAGCTATCATATCAGCATTACTTAATACTTTACAGGAAGGAGTCAGACATGTGAAAAATTATTTCTCTATGGTATTATTTCATACAAACCAGATTTGATTTTTTATACTCTCATATGTTTCTTTTAAGTTTCCATGGGGAAATTCAGAGCCAAGGAGATTTGGTA